CAATCCCCTAAGGAGTGGGGAGGTGAGAGAGGGATGAACCACAGAACTTATATGCATGTATGCATGAACAGTGGACATGGACAACAATCTGGGGAAGGGGCAGGGAGGGAAGGGGGAGGGGGGAATCAGTGGGGGAAAAAAAGGAGAATCATTTGTAACAAAAATTAATCAATAAATAAAAAAAAAAAAGAGAGAGAGAACTATCACCCATTCCCCTCAAATTATTTCAAAAAATGCAAGAAGAAAGACTTCCAAACTTGTTCTATGAGGCCAGCATAATTCTAGTTCCCAAACCAGAAAAAGACACTACAAAGAAAGAAAACTACAGGCCAACATCCCTGATGAACATAGATTCCAAAATCCTGAACAAAATAGTAGCAAATCAGATCCAGCAATACATCAAAAAAAATTATTGACCATGACCAAGTGGGATTCATTCCAGGTATGCAAGGCTGGTACAATATTCACAAATCAATAAATGAGTTACACCACATAAACAAAATGAAGAATGAAAACCACATGATCATATCAATAGACACTGAAAAAGCATTCTACAAAATCCAGCATCCATTTCTGATATAAAAAAAAAAAGTTTCAGCAATGTGGGAATAAAGGGATCATATCTCGGCATAATAAAGGCCATATATGAAAGACCTACAGCCAAGATCACACTCAATGGGCAGAAACTAAAAACATTTCCATTAAGAACAGGAACAAGACAGGGATGTCTACGTTCGCCACTCTTATTTAACATAGTACTGGAAGTCTTAGCCACAGCAATCAGACATGAGGAAAAAAATAAAAGGGATCCAAAATGAAAAGGAGGGAGTGAAACTGTCATTATTTGCAGATGACATGATACTATACATAGAAAATGCTAAAGACTCCATGAAAAATCTACTAGACTTAATAAATGAATTTGGAAAAGTAGCAGGATACAAAATTAACATCAAGAAATCAATGGCATTTTTGATGAACTCACAGAAAGAGAAACTAAAATAACAATCCTAATTAATATCGTGGCAAAAAAAAAAAAAAAAATTGAGATACCTAGGAATAAACTTAACCAAAGAAGTAAAGGACCTATTTGCAGAAAACTACAGGACATTGAAAAAAGAAAGAGAGGAAGATACAAAAAAGTGTAAGCACATACCTTGTCCATGGATTGAAAGAATTAACATCTTTAAAATGTCCATACTACCGAAAGCAATCTATAGATTCAATGCAATCCCCATCAAAATACTAATGACATATTTCACAGAACTAAAACAAATACTTCAAAAGTTCATATGGAACCAAAAAAGTCCCCGAATAGCCACAGCAATTTTGAAAAAGAAGGACAGAGTAGGTGGGATCACAATACCAGATATCAGGTTATACTACAAAGTGACTGTAATCAAAACAGCCTGGTACTGGCACAAGAACAGGCATATAGACCAGTGGAACTGAACAGAGAATCCAGAAATGGACCCAAGGCAATATGCTCAATTAATATTTGACAAAGGTGGTAAGAGCACACAGTGGAATAAAGACATCCTCTTTCGTAAATGGTGCTGGGAAAATTGGACAGCTACATGCAAAAAAATGAAACTAGACCATCAACTTACACCATACACAAAAATAAACTCAAAATGGATAAAAGACTTAAATGTGACCCGTGAATCCATAACAATCCTAGAAGAAAATGTAGGCAACAAAATTTCGGACATCATATGCAGCAGAATTTTCACTGACACATCCCCTAAGGCAACAGAAACAAAGGAAAAAAATGAACACATGGGACTACATCAAACTAAAAAGCTTCTGCACAGCCAAAGAAACAATCATCAAAATGGAAAGGCAACCTACTGAATGGGAGAACATCATTGCCGATGATATATTAGATAAGGGTTTAATTTCTAATATATATAGAGTGCTCATACAACTCCACAAAAGGAAGACAAAGAACCCAATTAAAAAATGGGCAGAGGAGCTGAATAGACACCTCTCCAAACAGGACATACAAATGGCTAAGAGACATATGACGAAATGCTCAATATCACTAATCATCAGAAAGATGCAAATTCAAACAACAATGAGCTATCACCTCACACCTGTCAGAATGGCCGCCATCAACAAATCATCAAACAACAAGTGTTGGCGAGGGTGTGGAGAAAAGGGTACTCTAATACACTGCTGGTGGGAATGCAGTCTCGTGCAGCCACTATGGAAACCAATATGGTGTTACCTCAAAAAAGTTAAAATTGAACTTCCATTTGACCCAGTGATCCCGCTTCTAGGATTATACTGTAAGAAGCCTGAAACACTAATGAGGAAGAATATATGTACCCCCATGTTTGTAGTAGCACTATTTACAATAGGTAAGATCTGGAAACAGCCCAAGTGTCCATCAGTAGATGAATGGATAAAAAAGCAGTGGTACATATACACAATGGAGTACTATGCAGCTTGAGAAAGAACGATATCTTATCCTTTGAGACGACATGGAGGGACCTGGAAAGTATTATCCTAAGTGAAATAAGCCAAGCAGAAAAAGACAAATACCACATAATCTCACTTATATACGGAATATAATGAACATAACAGTCTGAGGAATACAGTAGACCCTGAAACATGGAAGTGGGGCCAGACTGACATCCCTCAGCAGAGGTGGTGGTGGAGTGGGAAGAGATAAACCACAGAACTTATATGCATGTATGTATAATCAATGGACATGGACAACAAAGCTGGGGACGGGGCGAGGGTGGGGTGGGGAGGAGGGTGTCAATGGGGTAAAAAGGAGAAACATCTGTAACAAAAAAATAAAGTAAGAATAAATAAATAAAGAAAACAAAATGTTTTCTCTGGCTATCTCCCCACCTGAAGCTCCAGTTCACCTCAAAGTTTCAGACTCTGAATGTTTGGGGTAAGGTGGGGAGAAGAGGCTCCTGATGTTCAGTAAAACAGTGCACTTGATATTCATTTAACAGCTCTGTACTCCTCCCCACCAACCCGAGCCCTACCACTCATGTTATCAGAGGATTGGCTGAAGGCACTGGAGTCTTAGGCTGCCCCTGATGTGTGCAGGCTTCTGGCTCAGTCATATGATCTATCAATACTTGAAAGTGTCTCAGCAGTGACTGCAGAAAAGCATCTCTCATACTTACCTTGATCTGACACAGAAGCTGCATCCATATACTCTGCACCTGCAGCTCCTTCTCCTGCAACCCCTTCATGACTTGACATAAGCTGTGTTTCAGTGACAGATACAGATGAAGACACCCTCCCTGACCCAAAAGCTCTCTTTGCACCAAATATGTGGGTCTTAGCTCTCATTCCAAAAGACTTGTTTCTCAGGATCTCCACACACAAACAAATCCCAAAGGTGGCCATCCCAAAGGTTCTCCAGATGGGCTTGGCACTCTTATCTCTAGAGTGGACAGAGTTTGAGCTTCCATGCTGTGGTCCTGCTACCTGAGAACACACCTTTGATCTTGGATGAAATTATGTGTCCCTGGGGATTGCTTCAAAATTATAAGAGATGAAGGAGAAGTGGGTGGGGGTGTAGAAGATCCAAAATTGGCCAAGAGTTGAACATTGTTTAGTGTAGTGTCGAGCACATGGGAGTTTCAGTGCCATGCAACATGTGGTCTGAGACAGGTGCCCATCCACAAACTATCACTGGTCTATGAAGATGTAAGTATACAGGTTGAGAAAATCATTCAGAAGCTTTCATAGAAATTGAACAGAGTAATTCTATGTCTGTTAAATCTAATAACAACATAATTAAGCCTGAATTTTGGCTGTTTTTAAATCTCATTTTTTAAGGAATTCACTTTTTACAAAACTACCAATCTATGATGGACTGTACAGTAAAGACAATGCCCCTCCGCACAGACAGAATAAGAAGCCCTGCTTTATAGGAATCTCTCTTCTGCTGTATATGCCTTACATTTCCCACAGTAAAGAGTTGGGAGGGGGGAAGAATTGCTATTTATTTCTGGTCTCTTCTGAAATATACATTTAGAACTTGTCAGAAAATGAATATAAATTTATCTTTTATCTTAGAAATATAAGTATATAAATGTAGGACTAAAAGCAGCCTTGGTTACAGGAGGCAGCTGGCTCTAGGTGGTATGGGTGGAGGACTCCGTCAGGGCACCTGTATATAAAAAGGGGGCAGTGACGCATTGCCGTGAATTGTTTATTTGAGCACATCCAGCTCTGATGAGCCACTGCTTGGCTAAATGTTTGGAGACTTTAAACTTTCCATTTTCCTTTTTGTTCTCTCACATGTATAACTGTCAGCCCACTGAGGGACTTTTAACTTATTTTTAAGTAGAAGTGTATTATTCAAACACTACAAGTCTACTTATAGTTCACTTGACAAAATCATGTTCATGGCTGTGTGTACATGTTCACTTCTATTTAAGGTTTTATGTCCATCCCTTTTCCTGTTCTGGTAGTAAGAGCGTTGTGAGGCCATTCATGTTAAGGTCAAACCTCTGAGCCACCCCAGAGCAGCTACTGTGTTCCTGTGAGTCATCCTGACTCCTAGCAGAGGAGTTAACAAACCCAGCTTAGGACTCAGACCCAAACATCTTAAATGCAGCCAGCTCAATTTCCTGCATTAGCTTTGTCCAAATTGTGAGTGACCACCTTGAAAGCAAAACTTGATGGAAAGGGAGAATCTACCTTTGAACAAGGGGAAATAAAACTGCTGGGAGGTTGACTCCAGGCCACTTGTCCTGAGACAGAGCTGAGTATGTGAGCGTACCGTAGGGCCTGTTACTGAAGGATCCAGGGATCACGAGGTTCCTATTTTAGGCTTACTGTGAAATAACCACCTGAGGGGAAAGACTGCAGGGGAGCTCTGCAGGGCACCCCTGTAAGGGCATTAGCACCAGGCTGCCTGTAATTAAGAAGCAGCCTGCTCTTGAGAAGTCAGTGCTGCCACCCCATCTGCCACGCCCGCCCAAGCTGGCACTGTGCCTCCCGCCTGCTGCCGCCTGGCTACCCACCGGATCCTTGGAGACCGCCTTTGATGGAGCGTTGATGCCAAGCTTTTCCAGAGGATAGACAATCTGTCGTCGTGGTCGCACGGGAACCAAGCAATGAAGGGCGGATGTCAGGGAGTGGGCGTAAGAGCTCTGGAACTGCAAGACAGCAATCTCTATTTTAGGGGAGAAAATGTCAGAGCATCGCAGCACAGATGCCTGCGTGTGACTTCACAAATACAAAATCTGAACTCGGCCAAATCGGAGAGGGGAAAAACCCAGCAAATAAACAAACAGACTCTTTGAGCAGAGGAATGAATTGTAGATAATGCCTGACACTAATGAAGATAATTACAAGAGTAATTACATTACTATCTCTGTGGGAATGACAGATAAACAAGTGGTTTGGTTTATGGGATTTTTCAGTACAAGTATTTTCCCCAGGAGGATATTATTCTCCATAGTGAACATGAATCAGCTTGATTTGACCCCATTAAGCTGTGTTATCTGAGTCCTGTTAACCTTTGTGTCTTTGGCACATGCTACTTTAAGGAGGCACATAGATAAAAATGTCATCTAAAGGCAACTGAACACAGATGTGAAAATCCTGTTAGTGAAAGCACAGCTACTTCAGCCGGACCTCTGTTGATAATGTGTTTTGAGATAAAATGATGAAACTGAAAAGTGGGGGTAGGTGGAGGAATTAGATCATATTATTTTGACTTACATTAATACTAAATTATGACTTGAATTTATGCTTACTGAAATGAACTATGATAAATCATGTTTTTGGAGAATGCTTTAAATATTAATTTTACTCAATTTTTAAAACTTGGCAGAGAAAACTGAACATGGTGATGTTTATTTCTTTCACATTTATGAATTCTTAGGATATTTAGTGAAATTAACTCAGTGTTTCAATCATTTACACCTCAAGAGTTAAACTGTGAAACCAACATTCTTAAAGATATATTTGTTGTATTTAAGCTGGAAAGTAAAGAAAGTAAAACTGAATTGTAAATGTAGTTTAATAAGTAAGATGGTTTACATGTGACTTATTTCCTATTCTAAATACAGTCCCCAGGCATTTTTAAGAGCTTCTAAAATCCTTCACCACTGGACTTCAAGCTCTGACTTTACCCACTGAAAAACAGAACCCAGGAATTCCCAGCCTGAGCCCTGTCTTTATGCCTGGAAGATCTCTCCATACATGTTTTGGAAGGAGGATGTGGAGAAAACCATCTTTATAATGTGAGCTAAAAGCTCATTTTTACTACTGCCAACTAGGAATTTATTTACAGCAGCATCTGAAAAATTTTACCTAAATTATTTGGTACTGTTTCTTAACATCGTTTAAATGTATATATGTGAATCAGCTGGAAGTACAGACTGAGGAAACCTGTTTCCAAATGTGTTTCTACTTCTTATATGAAATAGTGCATAACACATTCTGAATCTATACCATTGAGGTAAATATATAAACATGCAATAACATGTCTAATATACTATTTTTATTATACAAAAGAACTTTCTAGCAGCATGCAACATCATGAATAAAACATGAGAATTTAATATCACAAGCTGAAGATCACCAAATTGGCAACTGGCCAAATGCAAACTAAAAAGAAATTGTGCAGGACCAGAATTTTCCAACACAACTGTCACCTTCCCATTGCACTAAGTTAAAACCTAGGGTATTTACACTAAAATAGGGCTGCATTTTGATTTTAAAAAATCATCACTAAAGCATATTTTATATCTCGATAAAACTATTTTTAATGCTTTTCCTTCTTTCTTTCCCATTCCCTTTGTATTCTCCAAAAGGCTCTTGTTATGTGAGTGTACTATTACACTTTAGAATATTTTTAAGTTTAATAAGTAAGATAATTTAAAAAATCTACTTAGTTTACTTGTGGGTAAATAAGAAGAAATATAACAACATCAAAGATTCTAGGTGAGCATGAGACACTTTTTAGTGATGAATGGGATCTGACAGGACAATTTCTACCTAGTCTAGTTGTTGATCTAACCACCCCTAGAGTGGCCATCAGTCTAAGGATTAATGCTGTCAGTGATGAAAGAACAACTTGCCGGAAACAACACCTTGGGAATCCAGCTTGAATAGGCCCTATGGAACAACCAGGACACTGTATTTGAGTGTGTGTGTGCTAATACACAGGGTGTGGCAAAAGTAGGTTTATGATTGTGAGTACGTGAAACAGAGTTTATTATTGTATTATCATTTATTAATTATTGCAGTATTATCATTTATTAATTATTGCATTATTTTCCATTTGAACGATTGTAAACCTACTTTTGCACTACCCTGTAAGTGAGATCTTCTAGGCCCTGGGATAGAGCTTTGAACAGACAAAAAACATCTCTGCCTTCTTGGATAAAGATAACATTTTAGCTAGTGAAAAGTGCTATGAAAAAGACTAAAGCAGGATAAATGAAAGCAAGATAAAGAGCTTGCTATCTGTGCATGCACACGTACATAATGTATACACATCAGTGTCCATTAGAAAAGCACTATCTACATAAGTATGACAGTATTATGCAGAGTTATATAGGTATTTCCTACATAAAGGTTAAATCAGTATCATAAATCTCCACTTTTTATCCATCACTTTTATATGGGTGATTATAGTGCTTATTTGGAATGCTGTGATAGCACAACAATCTTATGGGATTGAACTGATTTTTCTTATGAGTTCATTACTAAAACGTTCTTTGCTTAAAGAAAATGTTAGGATCATTTTGGCTTTTTACTAATCACCATAAGAAATAATTTAGCCCTGACCATTTGGCTCAGCAGTTAGAACGTTGGCCCATGAACCAAAAAATTGCAAGTTCAATTCTGGTCAAAGGCACGTACGCAGATTGTGATTCGGTCCCTGGTCCTGGTTGGGTTGTGCGGGAGGCAAACAATCTATGTGTCTCCCTTGCGTTGATGTTTCTCTCTCTCTCTCTCTCTTTCTCCCTCCCACTCTGTCTGAAAATAAATGGAAAAATATCCTTGGGTGAGGATTTAAACAAAAGAAAGAATTTGTTTCACATGTCTGTTGGAGCATTTTTGCATAGTTTTTAGTCTCTGTTTTGTCAATAAGGAAAAACCAAGAAAATGTTCTACTAATTATATTGATTGTAATTGTTTCAGAAATTCAAACCCTGAACTTTCACTGTAGTATAAGGGCCAAACTCAATATGGCCATTTGAAACTCAAAGCCACACTATAATCAAAGTCCATCAGGCCAGGAAGGAATAAAATATGTATGGCACACAACACAAAAGACACTGTGACAATGATCTGTCAGAAAAGTGAGTTACAACATTTTTTACCTTGCCTTCCCTGGAAGCTGGATAAATAGGGTAGTAGAGACAGGACTTATACCCTAAACGGAGGATCTCCTTCAGAAAAAACTTGGTGTAGTGCCGAAAAATGGGGTTCAAGGCAAAGTGATACAGGTGTCCATGTTCTTCACGCTGGTGGTGACTGAAGTAGATGAAATCTTCAATATTGTAATGGGATCGTATGTACTCTATATCCTAAAAAAGAGGCGAGGAAAGGACATCTGAGAATGTTTTAAACAAATGGCATGCATTTTGTGATAAAAAACATTTTTAAATTACTTTAGGTACAATAGTAAGAAATGTATTTTTCTCTCCTGTGATTTACTACTTCATCTTCATTGTTAATTGTTTAAGAATTAAAAATTATATTTCCTGAAAGTCATTCGTTCTGATGGCTTGTCTCTGGAGGATGGCTACATAGCTTTGGATTTGTTCCTTACAGAAAGCCTTGCATCTCTGCTAGCGACCAGGCAGCAGGACAGTAGCTCTCAACTGCTATTGGGCAAAGGCTGCACGAGCTGGTCAGCATGACTGACCAAGCATATGCAGATTTCAGGAGCAGGACAAACACTTACTCTGAATTCATTACTGTTCTCGATTCACATATTAATGTGGAAACAAGTTATCCCACATGTCACACACTTTGATTGGCACAGCGGGCTGGGTTGGCCTACAATAAAACTGTGAGGTTGGGTCTCATCCACAGGCATTCCTTAAACATTTTATCTCTGTGGTACAGTCAAAAGCCACTGAACAACTGGGATACATTCTGAGAAATGCATCATTTGGTGGTTTCTTCACTAGTGAACATCATAAAGTGCAGATACACAAAACGTAGATGATCTAACCTACCACACACGTAGGTTATATGGTACAGCCTATTGCTCCTAGGCTACAAATATAGTATAGCATGTTACTGCACAAAACAACACAAGATTAAATCAAGCACAAGAGAAAGTGATGCCATCAAAAGACTGGGTAAACCCGAGATATACAGGGCTGCTGCCAGCGTAATATGGTATACTGTTTTACACAGACTTTATTTTTTATAAGTAGAAAGAGTATACTCTAAATAAAAATTAAAAGTATAGTAAGGATATGATGACTTTTCAGAAAAGGCTAGGATGAGAGGAGAGAAATGGCGGTGGAGTGAATGGAGCTACACAGACCATCTCCCAGGACCAAACTGGATTTAGAACGAAAATAAAGGCAAATCTTCAGGAAGGGACAACCGAAAGACACCATGGAGGACCACATAACCAGGGAAACTGACTCAATCCTGGTAGGCTTGTGAGGACACGAGAAGGGGCCTGGAGCCCATGGTCCACAGCGGCCTGGGCGGGGACAAGGGGGCTCGGCGGGAATTTGCTGCTACCACCTCGGCTGAGACCCCGCCTGAGTCCTGGGAACTCTGCTGCCTGCTAAGCCCTCGGCTGGTGCCGCATGGGCTGGCAAGGACTGGCTGCGACCAGGGGACTCGGCGGGACGCTGCTACTGAGGCTGAGTCCTGCAAACTCTGCGTGCTAAGCCCTCAGCTGGTGCCGCACAAACTCGGGGGACCAGGGGACTCTGCTGGAAGCTGCAGCCACCTCGGCAGTGTCCTGCTACTGCGGCTCAGTCCTGGGGTTTCTGGTGAGTGCAACGCCCTCGGTTGGTGCCACAGCCACGGCACCCTTGGCTGGAAGCAGTGCCCTCGGGTTAAAATTCCCAGAAGGCTCCACAACTCAGAGTCTAGACAGAAGCTAAATTGGCAGCAGCCACTCACCTTGGGCTCCGGGAGAGGGAAGGCAGACTGGACTGGAACTGTCTGGGGTCACTCGGGTTTTGGAGGGTGCTAAGAGCTTTCGCTGACTGCAGCCACGCAGGACTGTGGACATTTTACTCCTTCCCAGGACCCTGGGGAGAGGCGGAGGCCCCTCCCTCAGAGATTCAACCGCACCTGGTGGCCACTGAAATGCTAATTGAGGCCCATTAGCAAACAGCAGCTGCCCCACCCTCGGGAAATCCTCTTACACTGAGCACATGAGGGAGTTTTTCAGGCAACTCAGAAACCAAGGGTCTTCAGGTGACCTCTACTAATAGCCTCCAGGCAAAAAAAACTAGAGGATAACTACCATTCACTGGGCTAGCAACATTAACCAGAAAAGCTAATTCTTGACGGTGGTGTTTAAAGTGGGTCCTCCCTGGCTCCCAACCCAGGAGAGGGAGCCACAAACAGCAGAACACCAACACCCACAGGGAAAATTTGGCAGACTCCAAAGCCCAATGTGATAGCCAAAATGGTGAAAAACAGAAACAAAAGCCAAATGAAAGAACAAAAGACCTCTACCGAAGACGAGATAAATGAGGTGCAGTTAAGCAAGTTAACAACTAGAATTGAGAGCCATGATGTTGAGGAAGCTCAACAGCATGTGTAAGGATATGAGCACCATGAGTAAAGACATAGAAATGTTGAAAATCAACCAGTTGGAAAGTAAAAACCAACAGGAAGAAATGAAGAATAACATATCAGAAATGAAAAACACATTGGAAGGTCTGAAAAGCAGAGTAGGGGAAGCTGAGGACAGGATCAGTGAATTAGAAGACAGGCTAGAAGAAATCAACCAATCAGAAAACCAAAAGGAAAAAACAATTAAAAACAGGAAGACAGCTTAAGAGAACTGTGGGGCAACTGGAAATGTAATAATATTCGCATCATAGGAGTCCCTGAAAAAGAAGAAAATGAGCAAGGGTTAGAGAATATATTTGAAGAAATAGTGACAGAAAACTTCCCTAACTTGGTGAAGGAAGAAGGCATTCAAGTTCAAGAAGCACAGAGAGCCCCAAGTAAGAAGAAACCAAACAGGCCCACACCAAGACTCATAGTAATCAAACTGCCAAAAATTAAAGACATAGAGAGAATCTTAAAAGCAGCAAGAGATAAGCAACAGGTTACCTACAAAGGAAACCCCATAAGGCTCTCAGCTGACTTCTCAGAAGAAACACTACAAGCCAGAAGGGAATGACATGAAGTAATCAAGGTCATGAAAAACAAAGATCTGAATCCAAGACTACTCTACCCAGCAAGGCTATCATTCAAAATAGAAGGTCAAATAAAGAGCTTCCCAGACCAAAAAAAAAAAAAAAAAAAGGCTAAGGGAATACACTAGCACCAAACCAACACTGCAAGAAATCTTAACAGGACTGCTGTAATTAGCAGGAGAAATGGGACGAAAAATAAAACCACACTAAACAAAAGTGGCAATAAATAAGTACATATCAATAATCACATTAAATGTAAATGGACTGAATGCTCCCATAAAAACACACAGACTAGTTGATTGGATAGGAAAGCATGGCTCATCTATATATTGTTTACAAGAGACCCACCTCACAACAAAAGACTCACATAGGTTGAAAGTGAAGGGATGGAAAAAAATCTTCCAAGCAAACGGAAAAGAAAAAAAAGTTGCGGTAGCAATACTCATATCTGATAAAATAGATTTTAGAATGAAGGCCATAATTAGAGACAAAGAAGGCCACTACATAATATTGAAAGGATCTAACCAACAGGAAGATATAACCTTTATAAACATATATGCACCGAATATAGGAGCACCAAAATATATTTAAAAACTTCTGGAGGACTTCAAAGGAGAAATCGATAGTAATACAATCATAGCAGGGGACTTTAACACCCCACTGACATCACTGGATAGATCCTCTAGAAAAAAAATTAGCAAGGAAACAGAGACTCTAAATGAAGCACCAGACCAAATGGATTTAATAGATATCTACAGAGAACTACACCCCAAAACTACAGACTACACATTCTTCTCAAATGCACATGGGACATTCCCAAAGATAGACCACACGTTAGGGCACAAACTAAGTCTCTACAAGTTCAAAAAGACTGAAGTCATATCAAGCATCTTCTCAGATCACAATGACATGAAACTAGAAATCAATAGCACGAAGAATATACAAAGACATTTGAACACCTGGAGACTAAATACCATGTTATTAAACAATGAATGTGTCACCGAGGAGATCAAGGAAGAAATTAAAAACTTCCTGGAAACCAATGAAAATGAACACACAACAACACAAAATCTTTGGGAAGCAGCGAAAGCAGTTCTGAGAGGGAAGTTCATAGCACTACAGGCCTACCTCAAAAAAGAAGAAAAATCTCTAATAGACTAACTAACCTCACAACTTAAAGATCTAGAGAGCAAACAAAACGAAAACCCCAGAGCAAGTAGAAGGAAGGAAATAGTAAAGATCAGAGCAGAAATAAATGACATAGAGACCAAAAAAACAAAGGATCAATAAAACAAAGAGCTGGTTTTTCATAAAGTTAAACAAGATTGATGGACCCTTAGCTAGACTCACCAAGAAAGAAAGAGACAGAACCCAAATACACAAAATCAGAAATGAAAGAGGAGAAGTAACAACTAACACCACAGAAATACAAAAGATCATTAACAACTACTATGAACAATTATATGGCAACAAATTCGATAATCTAAGTGCAATGGACAAATTTCTAGAAACACATAGTCTCCCAAAACTGGATATGGAAGAGACAGAAAGCTTGAACAGACCAATAAAAACAGAAGAAATTGAAGATGCAATCAAGACTCTCCCAGCAAACAAAAGCCCAGGCCCGGATGGCTTCACAGGGAGTTTTACTGAACATTCAAAGAAGAACTAATCGCAATTCTCCTCAAACTACTTCAAAAAATTCAAGAAGAAGGAAGACTTCCAAACTCATTTTATTTAGCCAGCATAATTCTAATTCCCAAACCAGAAAAAGACACAACAAAGAAAGAAAACTACAGGCCAATATCCCTGGTGAACATAGAGGCCAAAATCCCAAACAAAATACTAGCTAATCGGATCCAGCAATACGCCAAAAAAATTATCCACCATGACCAAGTGGGATTCATCCCAGGGATGCAAGGCTGGTACAATATTAGCAAATCCATAAATGTGATACACCACATAAATAAAATGAAGAATAAAAACCACATGATAATATCAATAGATGCTGAAAAAGCCTTCGACAAAATCCAGCATCCATTTCTGATAAAAACGCTCAGCAGTGTGGGAATACAGGGATCATATCTCGACATAATAAAGGCCATATATGAAAGACCTACAGCCAACATCATACTCAATGGGCAAAAACTAAAAGCATTTCCCTTAAGAACAGG